CATTTTGGGGTGATAGGAATGTTCTAGAAGTGGATAGCAGGGATGGACGCACAACACTGTAAGTTTTTACCAAAATCCCTGGACTATACACTTTAAAGTCATTTCGGGGGCATCTGGGTGGCTCAGTCAGTTAAGCGTCTGACTCTCGATTGTGGCTCGGGTCCTGATATGGTTGTGAGATCGAGCCCCACATCTGATAGTTATTTTGAGAGAGACAGAGAGAGAGAGAGAGAGAGAGAGTCAAAGAGAGCATGAGTGCAAGTAGGGGAGGGGCAGAGGGAGAGAGAATCCCAAGCAGGCTCTGCGCCCCCAGCCCACAAACTGTGATGTCATGACCTAAGCTGAAATCAAGGGTCGGATGCTTAACCGACTGAGCCACCTAGGCTGTCCTTCATCCCCTGTCTTGAGATGGAGCCTCAACCCTCCGGAAGGTCAGTGCTGGGTGGAGAAGCTATGTGGCCGGACATCTGGCTAAGACGGTGTTCCTCTGTCCAGATGGAAAGGTCAACTGCAACCTGTACCCTCCCCTGGAACCCCCCCGGGGCCAACATGCACCCCCCCGTGGCAGCCCCCACATCACATGTTCCCACCCCCACCCCACCCCCAGTGACGTGCCAGTCCGTGGTTCTCTGGTTCTTGGGCCCTCTGCGACAGCAGGGGGACTCAGCCCCTCAGTCATTTCACACCGACCTGAAGTCTCCCAAATGCCCACACCCAATGCTCATCATTCTGTCATATCGCTTCCCTTCCTTGGGTACTGAACGTGATCATACACCACTGTCATTTTGAGCAGGAGACCTTTAAAGGTTAGAGAGATTTTTAAGCGTCTCCAAATTAAAGTGGATATACGAGCCTTGTCCTTAAAACTCTATATTCTGACAAATATGCCTTTGCGTATATAAAGAGACTCTGAACTGATAAAGGGAAGAAATACAACAAAATGTCCGCCCAATTAGGGTCAATTTATATGCTGGGATGAGTAAGACGAACTCCTATTCATCCTTCAAAACCCCACCCAGACATAACTTGCTGAAGGAAACCCTCCCTAAGCCCCCTACATGGGATTCATGAATCTCACAGAGTGACATTCATCCCTCATATTGCCATGGGCTATTGGGCATATTCTCACTTTTAACTGCAATTTACTTTGTCTCTCCACCCCCAAACCCCCTTTTGCAAACTACTGTTTTGCAATGACCTCGAGTCTGAGGCTGCAGGTACCAGAATGAAGCTGCTGCCCATAAGGTGGCAGAGCTTTTGCGGGGCCTGGAACAGGGTTGGCGCTCGTGGTAACCTTCGAGCTAGATGGCATTTGCTCCATTTCTGAGACAAGAAAATGGAGAGCAGGCTTAAACCGCCTGCCCACAGCCCATGGTTGTTCGCGGAGGAAGCAGCATCCAGCCCAGGAGAGCCCGAGCCCAACAGGCTGCCAGCTGTGCCCCGCTCTGAAAGGATACAGCGCTAGCAATTTATCCACATGGAGCCCTCCCACCTGCTGGGTCCACATGCGTTGTCTCCTGTAACTCCACAGATCTGACCCATTTCACAGATGAGGAAAAAGGGGAAGCGGGAGTCTCCAAATGTCTCTTGCGGGAGGTCACAGAGCTCCCTGGGATCTGAACTCAGTGCTGGGACCCCAAAGAAGAGCCACAGTAAGTCCACTCGGGTGGTCTCTCCTTGCCCCCTTCCCTCCGGCACCCATCAGATACCAGAGGTTCTTGGTCCCAGGTGGCACCCAGTGGGCAGTGGCCAGGGATACTGCCGAACACCCCACAGTGCACAGGACAGCCCCACCGTAAAGAATTATCCAGCACAGGCATCAACAGTGCCCGGGTTCCAAAACTCGGACATGACCCAACTTAGAACAGCATCATCACACGCATGCACATGAGCACGCGTGCACGCACGCCCTGCAGCATCCAGACCTGCACTCCCGTCCCCCGCAGAACCTGGGACAGACCTACGGACAAAGGAGGGGGCAGGAGGAAAAGCAAGCAAAGCCCCGCCCACAAAGGTACCACAGTCACCATTAACGTCATATTTATTGTTATTTAGCTGCTCAGGAAAACATATACAGGTATATACAATATGCATGAATACAGAAGACTGCACTTTACATATTTTTTTTAAAAAAGAAAGAAAAAAATAACACTCAATTTCATGAGCTATTGTCACAGTCTTCCAACCAAGCATTTCAGAAATGAATTTCTTTTAAGAGTCAAAAAAGATTACAGGATTGCCTAACACACAGCAGAGTTAAGATTTCATATTTTACATGTGCAATAACGTTTTCGTTTTCTTTCCCCAAAAAAAGTTTGCTATGCGGTACCGATTACCAGTGTTTGGAGTCTCGTGGGTTGGGCGTGTTTTTAATTTGCTTTGATTCTTTCCATTAAACCAAATTTAACGAAATAACATCCTTTTGCTTAAGGCTATTTTTAAAGCTGTTCCATTCTGGGGTCGTGGGGAGCGAGGAAGCTTAAAACTTCAGGGGTTTCCGACGTTGCGGGGACCTTGAGCTGATGGCCAGGTGCTAATGAACTCAACACAGGGAAAGTCAAGACGCTTGGCTCCCCGGCCTTAAGCAATTAAGGAGAAATCATTCCTGTTTAAAAAATAAAATAAAACGATGCAGCTTTCAACCTGTTGTACCTGGTGGAATCAGAGGGGGTGTGGAGTTCTGCTCAGACTGTGACTGACCCTCCTGCAGCCCGGGGAAGGGGGACATTCTCTCTTTCTTCCCTCTGGAGGCAGAAAACGGTTCACACCTTCTGCAGGCTGATCAGTTCACAACCCCTTGCTTCCGCCTGCCTTCTACGGGGCCCGGGGCCGGGGCTCTGGTCAGACAGTCCATGCAGGGACCTTCTAGTCTCAAGACCCCAGCCGAAAGATGAGGGGGAGAGGAAAGAGTGAGATGACCCTCTTCTCCCTTCGCTGAAAAGTTCTTTGAAATAAAGTGTGGGTGTTGTATGGTGAGCCCCAAGCCTTCAGGTCACTTGCTAAAACACAACAACAAAAAAGCCAGGTCTGTGAACTCTTGGGGACCTGGGGGCAGAGGGGAGGGGACGCAAGGCTCAAAACGGGCGTTCAGTAAGACTTGCTCTTGAACAAAAACTGAAGTAAAATAGGGGAGATACTGACGTGGGTGAGAGGCTATCCGCGGCTTCTTGTCTGGCCCACCTAGAATCTGTGCGCCCCCCACAGCGCCCCCACACCCCCCCACCCCGCCGAGCCATACAAGCCTTTCGTAGGCGTCCACAGCACCCAAAGGTGCCCGCCCCACCAACGCTGGGCTCCCAATGACTGCCGTTCTGGGTCCCCCACTGGGTCCAGGAGCCCCGCTCTCTGATGCCACTCACCTAGCCGCCCCCCCTCTCGGCTCTGAGAGATTATTTCTTGGTGAGGCGCATGGGACTTGGCTCTTGTTTTGCAACAGGGTGAGATTAAATCAAAAGATGGGTGGGGGGGGGGGTATTCCAGGCTTACATAAAAAGGCCCAGGAATCAAAGTCATTGGTTCTATTCATTGTTTCCTTCCCATAACCCGCAGGAGCCCGCAAACCCCTGCAGAGAAATACACCCATGTTCAGAGATGGGGGGGCTTGGCAGGCTGAGCCTGAGGGCTCCTTCCCTGCCCTGGCAAACGCCCCATTCCTCCCAGGGATGGGAGGTTGGTTGCCCAGGTTGGAGGGGGAAAAACACAGATGGGGAGGTGGGGACAGAATGGGAGAGGTGAGGGAGATACACGCATCCCACCTCCTTCCTCCCACAATGCCTGCATGGGAACAGCTGTCGGCAAAGGTCAAGGGCTAAGAACTGATCCTCCCCTAACTTGGGCACCCACCACCCCAGCCGGGCCCGGCTGCAGCAGGGCGGGAGCCAGGAGCCCCCAGAGGCTCTGCAAGCTGGAAAGGCACCATCCCCCATGCACACTAAGGCTGGTTAGCATAGCATGAAAATTCAGAGCCTGGGCGTTTGCACAGAGGCCCAGAAAAGGAGAGAAAAAACACCACTGTTGAACATTCCGACTCCTTCCCACTGAGCGGGCTGGACACATCATCACCTCCGTTGCAGAGAGGACAGCTTCCAGCAGAAGACAGAACGGAGCTGAAGGCTGAGCGTGTGTTTGTAGGAACAAAAAATATCTCTCTCTCTATTTTCTTAGGGAACAGACAAAACAAAATCCCAGGCGGAAGACCTAAGGGGGGCATTAATTGTTTGGCTCCTGCCTGACTGATGACAGTTGGGTGTCAATATATAACATCGTGATGACAATTTGACTTTCACCCGGCAATCTTCCAGAACTACTATTCTCCAGGATTTCCATTTTAATAAGCAGTGAACAAAGCAAAAAGAAAAAAAAAAAGAAAGAAAGAAAGAAAAGGCGGTGGGGTGGGGGGGAGGGGGAGAGGGACAAGAATAAAAGAGAATAAAAAAGAAAGTAACTCTTGTCTTATTATGAAATAACAATGCTTTGGACATACAGCAGCATGAAAATAAAACAAGGAAAGAGGTCATCTAAAAAACGTATGCCAAGATTACAGAAAAACGGGAATTATATCTAGCAGGAAAAAGGCTGAAGCAAAAGTTTGCTAACTGCAGAAGGGTTAACACTGGTAACATACTGTGGCAGACAAGTTTCTTTTTTAAAAAATTTTTTTGAGGCTTTTTTTTTTCCCCTTTAAATTAACCCTTTCCGGTCCATATGCCACTAAGCAGGTACCAACCTAGAAAAAAAAATCATCCACTCAGCAATAGTGGCCCTTTCAAATTACCAGGAGGGTGGGGTGGGCGGAGGGGGTCTGGGGCGGGAG